TAAATGATGGCAGCCCAAACAAGAGCCATTAAACTTTGCCCACTTGTGTTTATCCTCAGCAAAGCCAGCAGCTCAGCACCAAGGGGAGAACACTGCCTTCCTAACCACCAGCATTCCTTCCTCCAACAGGATAGGGTTTTTCCTCTTCCCTATCTTAACCACTGGTAGAGTGGAAATAAACAAGTTGTACAACTAGATCAGCTACCACACATCTCTTCTGCCTTGGGCACACCACCACAACTTCCAGCCTACGTTAAGATTCAGCGTGAGGGTAGGAACAGAGAACATCAAGCTTGCTTCTCTTTGCAGCAGTGCCACGGTACACCAGGCTAAACCAGGCACTAAACCAGGACTGGGCATACCTGTTTACTGCTGAAACGCTAGGCTAAAGTTCCATCTCTTCCTAGAGCACACTTGCACCTCTTTTTTCACGCCAACCCTTCCGTGATACCATTCTATGAAAGGTTTGGGGAGCTCAACTGATAGAAAAACAACCTTGAGGAAGAAAAACCAGGCAGTTTCTGAGAGCTGAACTCCATGAACTGACTGTCAGGTCAAACAGGCACCGCTAGAAGGTTTGGGAGAGCAGCAGAATTGCCTCCTTTCAAGCAGTTGGCCAACAGATTCATCCAGCAACTGTGCTGTCAGGGGTGAGCTTAGGCCTCCCTCGTATCAGTTCTGGTCACTGTTGACTTAGGGAACAAGCCAGATTAGCTCCCACATCCAGCTGAAAACTACTCTACCCTAAGGTTAACCTCCCGTCCCATCAGCAGGTTCATCTAATCATACAACAGAGGCAACACAAAGGAGAAAAGAAAAAACACACAATCAAGATAGTATTCTTCAGCTGCAGTCCGCTGGTATCAGCGTAAGCTATGGAATGCCATGATAAGGTTCCTAATAAAGAACATAAAGGAAAGCAGAGAGTTTGAAAATACTGCTGGGCATATTAAAACTTCCAGCAAACTGTGAAAGAATTATAGATAAATGAGGTTTAAACACTTCAAGTGGCCAACACTGAGAAAGGCTTGATTTAAGCTTTATCTTAACATTAACTTAAGCATTCTTGGCAATTCTGACCACCTCAGGAGGTCAAATTTCATTTTATTTAAAGTTCAACTTGAATCGTTACAGAAATGGTCTTTTAATGTATGAGATGTAAAAGAGGTCATATTTCATACATTATTATTTTAATAATCTTCCTGCCTGCAACACAGTGACAACCACTGGCACCAGTATCAATATTCATGCCATCTTACATTTTTCTCAACAGCAACTGCAATGACCTACAATGCTTTTTCAGACAAATGTCTCACCAGAAATTCTGCCACCAGTGACTTCGGCTGCCTTTCTGAAAGGTCTCTTTGTAATAACATTACTGTATGATCGACTGATTTCTATATATAATAAGACTATTTTGATTGGAATTTGATAAACTGCTACTTTGGAGCTCAACACTCACCACCAACAATAAAGAGCACGCCTTATATATCTTATATATATAGTTTGCATTTCTCTTTTGCTGGTCATTGTTCCTTTCATGCTTTATCCCAAAGCACTGGGAAAAGCTTAGTATGTGATATTCTCTCCTTTGAGGGCATGCTTTTAAGACCACTGCCACCCCTTGGTCTTTTTTGTGGTCAAATGAAAGATGAGTCTAAAAAGCCTTTTTTTTTTTTTTAATTTTCTTTCTTCAGGTTTCGCATCTTTTGTGATGATGATGCAATCTTTCAATTTAAAAAAAGCTCCATTTTAAAAATGCTGACACCAAACCTAGGTGCTGCATCTTAACATTGATTCCCCCCTAAAGCTACAGTGAGTCAAAGGAAGGAAAAATCTCACTGTTATTTTAATCAATCCTCCCCCTGATTGTAAGTCCTAACATCTTTTTATTCAGGTTAAAAAAAAATAACCAAAAGATAAAGTACATAACTGTATGCAAAACAGGAAAAAAAACCTCAAACAATTAAAAAACCCTACATCTTAAGATGCAATTTTCAATGTTGAAAAAAAAAACATAGAAAAAAAAACTTGTTTTCTGTGCTACTAAGAAATAATTCAGTTCTATTTTAGTTGCTTAAGTGCTTCTGAATGTAACACCCATAGCGTTATTGTTCTGTAATCCTGCTTCCAAAATTATTTGCAAATGCATTCTGAACTATCATTGCGTTAAATGATAGAAATCTGGCATGAAAACGGCCACACAAAGAGCCCATTTGGAAATAAGAGCCAGAGCTGGAGCCACTGGAGAAGAGACTCTCTGTAAGTAGTTTTAAGAAGGGCTCCCAGAGCGGAGGCTGAAGTCGGTGTGTGACCAGCAGGTTTCCGAGAGGCACGTTTAGACGCACGGACCAGCACCGACGCACAAAAAACCACAAGTAAGATGAAGTGGCTTTTGAGGGAAGGAAGTCCAGCGCCTACATCAGAACAAGGTTGAGCCAGGAGTGTGTCTGGCTTGCCTCTAGCTCAAACTTTGTGGAAAGGAAAGTGGACACATATTGTCTTCTGAAGGGTTTTGCAGCCCACTGGTTACTTTTCCGTTTTTAACGTAACACAAAGAAGGTCGTAACTTAGAGCAGCTTCCCAAAGCAATGCAGCAAATACCCGGTTTGGCAGGGTGGCTGTGCATTAAACTAAAGCAGGAGGCAACAGCTACAAGTCATGTAAGTAAATATTGATTTGATTTTTTACTATAAAAGAAAAAAAAAAAAAAAACAAACCAAACAAGTAGAAAGGAGCTACCTGATGACATCACAGAGTTATCAAGATATCAAACCAGGGCTGGAAAAAAAAGTCCAATTTGACTCACCACCAACACACGTGAAACTCACCCCAGCAAGGTGAGCAGGAAGTCACTGGTTTCTGTGAACCCAGTTTCTGGCCCTCGCAGTTGAGAAATGTCTTGGCCTCACCTATGCCACCATCCCCACCTCTGAAAAGCCATCTATTCTATAAACATCAGCTCCAGACGCTCCAAGGAACCCTCCTAGGGAATAGTTTGTGTCCGCCTAAGGTTTAACACTACCCTGAATTTGAATTACTAATTCAAACGAGACTTAACTAAACTACTTAAACGATGACTAAATGCCATTCTAATTACAGAGAACACATTTGCAATTAACTAGCTTATTCCAGGAGCTAGGGCACCAACTTACAGAGAACAGAACGTCGCTCATACATTTCTGGTCTAGACAGGTTAAGTGAATAGTCTGGCAATAAATTAAAGCTAAACATGTACGTCACACTACAGTCCCGAGTAGAAACTTCTCTCCTACACCTTCTCAGAGGCAGATTTTCCTCTGCTGACTTTTATGTTTTAAAATGAGGTTTTGAACCTGTAGCCGTTTTACCTTATAACTATTTGTTGTCTTAATGTGTATTTTAAGATAGTATTAAAAACACCGCCACCACACCATTAGGTAAGCTACTAACACTAAAGAAATTTAAGTACAGGAAGTATGAGCCTGACCCATGGAAGAGAGTAATGAAAGTACCACTAAAACCAGTTAGAGAAAAAAAAAAGAAGATAGTTCTACTGTGCATGCTTAGACATTTCATTCAGAAAGCAAAATCTATTACATTTTAGCTTACAAAGAAGACAACTCCGATCCTCTATTTCCATATCAGATAAACAATCAAGTGTTTATTCTTACATACACAAACCCACATTTGTTTGTCACACTTAGTGTACATCTGAAGCACCATTTTAACTGAGACCAGTCGCTTGTCCTTGTGGGTAAACTGAAGGAAATGCTGCGAGTTATTATCAGCAGCACAGACTGATACACACAGCTCTGGGTGCATTCGCTTCGATTTCATAATGACCAAGTAACAACCCTTTCTTCCACAGCAGCAAGCACAGAACTGGTGATGCTTCTGCACTTCAATTCAGGTTTCAACACAGACAAGGCAGCAAGTGACATTTAAAGCAATGGCCTTTTTGAAACCTGCTCTCCTAATTAAAATTTCTATTTATTGGGTTATTAGCTTACATATTAGCTTAAAAAAAAAAAAATAAAAATGCAGTCATCTGAAGCCAGTAGGAAATAATGCTCTTATGTTCACAAGTCACCAGCCAAAGATGCTGGTAATCTCACAGAGCAAACAAGACTCAAACACGACAAACTAAGCAGGCATGAAGTAAAAGATGTTAAACACTACACAAAAATACATCTTCCCCAATTTCCTAACGTTTCAGCAGGCAAGGACTTTAAAATACATAGACAGAATTAGAAAGGAAAAATACTTTACAATAATATTAGTTGGATATCTCAGTAAAAACTCTAGTCAGGAATTAAGTTCTCTAAGTACTGAAAAGCTACTACTACAAAAAAATCTTGGATGGGAAGGTATGGTCCACCGTTTTAGCCGAGATACACAGCAGCAGCCCATCTAACTTTCATTGGGAGCCAAGCCTGCATATTCACACAAACTGGCATTTTTTTATTTTGGTCCCTTTATTAATACAGATCGTAGGTGTTTCTACATATGGAAGCATTTCTTTCACTGCACATAACCTAAAGAAACTGTCAATCAGAGGAAGATTCCAATGGCCAAGAAAAAAAAAAAACAACCCAAACATTTAGTGAATGAGTACTTCTGACAGTCTTCTGGTCACTCTTTTTTTTTTTTCATCTGCAGGAGGCGGCACGCAAACTGCACGCAGAAGATTCTTGAACGTTGTCTTTCACGGAATTAACACTGGTACGTAATGGGTTCAGCGTGAAGCCAGACAACTTCACCCTAAAATAAGTTTAGCCGCCTTTCCTTCAGCCCCCCCCCCGCCTTAACAATCTCCCGACTCCATCGCGCCTTTCCCCAGGTCACCCTCCCGCAGCACCCAACCGCCCTCCCATTCATGCTGCAGGAGGGAAACCCACAGAAACCGCTCGTCTGGCTACTAAATTGTAATTATATATATATTTTTTAAAGCTTTTATTTGTTTTAAAAACGACGCACACACACACACTCTGCGCCTCAGCCCCGGGCTGGAGACTCACCCATGGCGCTGGCCGGTGGCGGCGGTGTCGCTGCCGCTGCTGACGCTGGGCTCCGGCTGGCTGCCCTCCTTCCCTGCCTGCCTCCCGCCCTCCCCGCCTTCCCTCAGCCGCAACGGCAGCGAGCGAGCCGCCCCCCCCGTCCTCCTCCTCCTCCCGCCAGCCAACCCGGCGATTCTCCAACGCCCCCTACGCCGATTCCGCCCAGGGGCCGCGGCCCTTCCGCACAGCGCCTACGCTCTGGCGGCCGGACGGACTTAGCGGGCTCGGCTCCGCCGTCTGCTCCTCCTCCTTCTCCCCTCGCCGCCTCCGCCCCGCTCCTCACACGCTCGCTCCCCGCCCGCCTCCCCGAGCACGCGGCGGCTTCCGGCTCGGCATGGGGCTTCGCCGCCGCCGTCCCTACCCCCCGCCCCCTCGCCCAGCCCAACCCGGGATCGAACTGTTATTTCCTCCCGCTCCCTGTCAGAGAAGAAACAGGCCGCTCGGCGGCCATCTTGGAACCGGGCACTCTCAGGAAAGGCCGCCCCCCCCCCCCCCCCCCCCGGCCCCTGCAGGGCTTTGCCCGGAACAAAGATGGCCGCCGGCGCTGACGAGTTTGAGCCAGGCGGTTGCAACGCCCCCCGCCTCTTTCTCCGGCGCTATTCTCGGAGCGTCGCTAGTGCGTACGCGCCTTGCGGAACCCAGTGAGCGCTACGGAGCCTTACGCTGCCTCCGCTCGCCCGCCCACGCAATTGGCGTGCGAGAGGCGGGCAGGAGAAGGAGACCCGGGGATGGGGAGAGGACGCGGCCTTTAGGCCGGGGCGGCGATCCCACAGGCCGCCATCATCCCCGCCGAGCTGAGGGGAAGGCCCCGGCGCCATCCCGCCGCGGATCTGGCCTGCTCGCCCCACGATGGGGCGTTTGGGACCCATCCATAACCACCACCTCGTCCGCCCAGCCGTGGCTGTGGGCCCCGGAGGCGACTTGCCGCCCTGCTGCCATCAGGCCGTGGTGGCTGGCTGCCCCAGTCCGCCCAAATGAATGTGAACTCTTTATTTAAATAAAATACCATTTGAACGCTGCTGTTGGAAGGCACCAGATAAAATCCGGCTAGGAGGCCAAAGGGGTGCTCATACGCCCTGGGGATCACTGTGCCAAGCCCTGCCACTTGGGCTGGTGTGGCACCTACCCGAGACCCATGAGTTGTCTCCTCAGAAATGCTGCTGCGAGGCAGGGTAGGCATCTGCTGAGGTAAAGAAGTGACACGGGAAAAGGATGGACTCCAAGGGAGGCAGAAAAAATGACTTTTGCTTTTCCTACTGTGATACGGTTCTCAACATTGTAGTTCCTCTTTATGATCAGAGCAGGTATCTTTGGAGCCTTTTAAACCCTGGGATATTTTATGCCCAAACTGAAATACCAGAGGCCTGTATTTATGATGTGTGATTTGAAACCTAACATACTTTCTTTTCTGTTGGGGATTTCCATGTATGGTCCGTTCCTTCACCTTTTATTTCACACGAGGCGTGGTACACTTCTCTAGTAGGGAAAGGTACCTGGCAAAAAGGGAAAAATATATCAAATTATTGCGCCTATGATGTAATTTGCTTCTGCCGTTATTTGGAGTACAATTTAAGAGCATTCCTTGGTATTACAAGCATGAAAATAGCAATTTTAATTTCAGCAGCAAAAGGAAAGCTTTCAATAATGCAGTATTTCTGTAGGCAGAGTTGTAGCAGGGTAGACAGCAGCAGCAATGATGACGCTTGTTTCTCCAGGATTTCCATCCAATTCTTTCTCATCGAATGCCTGACTTTCCTTTTTTGGGTGCATTTGATAAACAAATACTTTTTACAACAACAAGGATCGTCTTTTCAGAAAGGTATGCAGCCCTGCACAATGTGGTTCAGCACTGTTTAAGAAGTGGTGGTGTTACAACATACTGTGGTTCTCGGATGCCCAAGGGAAAGAGATTTTTTTTATTATCGTTGGTCACAGGACTGCCAAATGTTATCTCATAAATCTTTGTCTTTCACAATGGATGAGGTAAGAAATAACCTTTTTTTTTTTCCTTTTTACATTCTGGTTGGTTTAGGTGGTAATGTCCATGGCAATGAGATGTAGCTGCATTGCTTTTGTGGTTGGTTGAGTACCAAAAAGAGACATTTTACACCACAGAAGTTGTTGGCTGAATACAAAATATGGTCCCCGCAGCTCTCCCATAAAAATACATTGTGGGAAAACAAACAATACGAATAATACTTGTTTTTTTCTCTTGTAGTAAGGGCTTCAAATCGCCCAGAAACATTTCTCTTGCTTTTCAGATATGCAGTGTTGAGAAAGTAGTACGTAACTGCTGGGGATGCCTTCAAAAAGGGAGTCATACTTGTTAAGTCATTTCCTTTTAAGAAAGACATGTCTTTGTGAATTGATCATTGGGAAAATAAGAGGGAGCTTGCACCTTTGAAATCTACTGCAAAAGCGGCACAAGCTTCAATGAAGAAGCAAGATAGGAGCCAGTGGGTTTTATGTGAGGTTAATGTCCCATTTTTCTGTGTTGTGAATAGCAGGGGGTTTCTCTTTTCAAACGGTAATTTGTGGGATGAGAAAGATTCTGCAAAACTGTATGCGTTTTGAGAAGAAATAAAGCAAATGCAAATGGGTCCCTGAAGTTTGGAGAATACTGTGTTCTGTGGAAAACATAATAAATCCAAACTTTCCCGTTCCCGTAGCAATCTGCTGTTCATCCTTCAAAAGGAAAAGACTTGACTAAACCTGTTACTAAACTTTAAAAAACTGAGTTCGGCAAGTACTTTTCAAGATTCTTCAGATTCTATTTAAGTTGATTCTTTTGAAAAAAAGATGCAGTTTGTGACTGCTTTTTGTGAAATTAACGAAAAGCTTTGCAGAGTGAAACGTAGAGCACTTCCTGCCACAACTCAGAACCCACCTGTGTCCTTCTTGTCTTCGGATACAGAAACAAAACCCACTCACCTTATTTACAGAATCTGCTAACTAGGGTTGCCACCAGGTCAGTTCCCAACCAGCCCGGCCAGTTTCAGTGTCTTCTTGCCAGTGAGACATGTGAAGACTATTCTGGTGTTTGGTGTTTTTTTTTTTCTTTTAATGCAGGCAGACATGACTCAGTAGGTGAATTTGCACCTAGCATTAGCTCCAGCATGGGATGTGGTGGAATTACTGCGCTTCTACCCTGATGACTTGCTCCTGCACGGCAACTCCCAACACCTCCTGGATTTGTAGGGCACGTGGTGCATCTCCAGACTAAATTGTGCTTGCTCAGTCAGTCTAATGTATGCGGCATCCTTTTGAGCTGCTGTGTAAGTGTGACAGATCTTTGCATGCCAAGAGATCCCTTGCCAGAAGTGATTATTATACCGACTGGGTGAAGAGAGCGAGGGGCTGAGGGGAAGGGAGTGGTGACGGTGTGTGGGCGACTGTTAGAGCCGGTACCTCAGCCCACCATGCTCCTGAGGGGAGCTCCCCTGTAGGGCAGGCACTGAGGGGGCTAGTAGAAAAGGGATCTCAGAGATACATTAAAAAGAGGTCGCTTAGCAAGCACCCCAGAGGGTTAATAAATATCAACCTTATATTGGGTTATAGGGGCAGTCACTCTCTACAATTACCAGAAAGGTGGTTGTAGCCAGGTGGGTGTCAGTCTCTTCTCCCAAATAACAAGCAATAGGACAAGAGGGAATGGCCTCAAGTTGCACCATGCAAGGATTACCAGAAAGGTGGTTGTAGCCAGGTGGGTGTCAGTCTCTTCTCCCAAATAACAAGCAATAGGACAAGAGGGAATGGCCTCAAGTTGCACCGGGGGAGGTTTAGGAAGGCTATAAGGAAAAAAGTCTTCGCCAAAAGGGTTGTCAAGCATTGGAGCAGGCTACCCAGGGAAGTGGTGGAATCGCCATCCCTGGAGGTATTTAAAAGACGGGCAGATGTGGTGCTGGGGGATGAGGTTTAGTGGTGGGGTTTGGATGGTTGGACTTGATGATCTTGAAGGACCCTTCCAAGTCTGACAATTCTAAGTCCTAAACTCCCACCACTCCTGTAAGCAATCTAGCTCTTGCAAGATAGGAGGCTGAGGATGCTCAACAGTGAATAATAAGCACAGGATTCTCCTTCAAACCCATCCTTAAATCAGCTTTGCAGGAACTTGGCCACTCTTTGACCACTGCTTGTCCTGCTTACCAGTAATGTCTCCTGTCCCTATACTTTCTTGCCTCTTGGATGTTTGTTACCCTTTACATTGGATGATCTTTTTGGAAATGCTGCCATTTTGCTTAGTTCTCTAGCACAAGAAACGTCCTGGCACGATGGTAATACAAATGCTAACGGTAGCGTGAGACATCTGGTGTCACAAGCCAGGGGCTCTTGAGGCAACAGGAACTGGGGAGTCACAGATGAAACACCTCAAATGAAGGCCACCTGAAGAGCAGCACGAAGGAAATGGAGCCACTCCAGCCAGTAACTCAGCTCCATGGGGACCCAGCTGAAGTGCCTTCACACAAGTGCACAGAGCATGGGGAAGAAGCAAGAGGAGTTAGAGACTGCGCACACCTCCAGGGCTACAATCTTATCGGCATCACAGAGACATGGTGGGATGGCTCTTATGGTTGGAGGGCTGGAATGGAGGGATACAGACTGTCCAGGAAGGATGGGCTGGGGACAGGAGGAGGGGGTGTCACCCTCTATGTCCGTGACCAGCTGGAGAGCATGGAGCTCCAACTGGGGATGGATGAAGACCCAACTGAGAGCTTATGGGTCAAGATTAAAGTGAACGCAGGGCGGGTGATGTTACAGTAGGGGTCTACTACAGGCCACCCGACCAGGATGGTGGAGTGGATGAGGCCTTCTGTAGACAGATAGGAGCAGCATCACGTTCACAGACCCTGGTCCTCAGGGGTGACTTCAGCCACCCTGATATCTGTTGGAGGGACAACACAGTGGAGCACAAGAAATCCAGGAAGTTCTTGGAATGTGTCAATGAAAACTTTCTTCTTCAAATGGTAAAGGATCCAATAAGGACAGGAGCCGTGCTGCTTCTCATCCTTACTGACAAGGAGGGGTGGTGGGGCTGATGGGCAATGTCAAGCTCAAGGGTGGCCTTGGCTGCAGTGATCACAAAATGGTAGAATTCAAGATCCTTCGGGCAGCAAGGAGGGTACGCAGCAAGCTCACTACACTGGACTTCAGGAGAGCAGACTTTGGCCTCCTGAGGGACCTGCTCGGCAGGGTAACATGGGGAGAAGTACTGGAGGGAGAGAGGCCCAAGAAAGCTGGTTAGTATTCAAGGATCACCTCCTCCAAGCTCAGGAGTGCTGCATCCCAAGAAAGAAGTCAGG